CCCTCCCCTCTTCCTGACTCCGAGGGCAACTCACAGGAGTGCTTCCTCCGATCGCCGTAGGAGTAACCTTTCCATCCGCTCCGTCTCAGACCCTGCTCTCGCATACTCTGGTTTAGAGGTTAACAGCGTCTGTTGCAGGAGCGTCTAAGTGGCGAGAGCCCACCTTTAGCTCAGCAGGGCGCTGAAGGCATCGTGTCAAGGACTGCGCTTTGCCTCTCTCAGGCTTGGCAGAGAGTGGCTTATTTAACCCCTGCCTTTTCTGCACGGTGAAAGTGAAGTGGTCAGCAGTTAGACAAGAGCTGAAACCGCTTTTAAAGGAGCGTTTTGGTCCTCTGCTTCTCCTCTTTTTATTCTCACACCTAGTTTAAATTCCTTGGTTTGTTCTGCCATCTGTTTGCCATTCTGTCCTTTCTGTCCTGCGTTATTGCTTGTCTCATTTCTCGCCTTAGGCAAATGAAGATGTTACTCAAATTGTGGAGATTTTCCCCTCTGGCCCTAGCAAATGGAACTGGCTGACTCGACGCCTGGTGGAGTTCACGTCTTCTGGGAGTGTTCTCCTGTTTGTCACCAAGAAGGCAAATGCGGAGGAGCTGGCCAATAACCTCAAGCAGGAGGATCATAATCTGGGGCTGCTTCATGGAGACATGGACCAGAGTGAGAGGAATAAAGTCATTTCAGAATTTAAGAAGAAGGGGATCCCGATACTGGTAGCTACTGATGTGGCAGGTACGTGACGGTCTAAGAAACAGCAGCTCATACAAGTTGTGGGTGTCAGCAGAAGGGCCTGCACATGGAAGGCAACAAGGCTGGCTTCTACAGCTGCTGGGCACTGTGTTCTAGATGTTTTTCAGAAGTACACAGTGTTAGCAAGGGGGTTTGTTTTTAAAGTCTTCTAATGATGTTTAAATTACAGTCTGGCAGGTGGTTTTTAACATACAGAAGAAAACTAAGCTGTTTCTTCAGGAAGTAGTTGCTATTCATTAATGAGCTGACACATTATGCGTGCTTAAATGAAGAGGAGATGGACACACTCAAAGCCCTCTCTAGAACAGCTTTAGCTGAACAAAGGGTGAATTTTGGTGTCCTTTAATAAAGCCCTCTCTCTTCCTTGGAAAAACAGTCATTGCAAGAGATCTCTTCCGTCTCCAACCCTGTGAACTTGGGGCTCGGTGTAACTTACACTTCTGTTAGAGAAGATATTGCTACACTTAAGAGTTGCCTACGAAGGGTGGCTTAACTGGGGTGTGTTCTTGTGGGGACTCCTTTCATGTGTTGGAGCAGATTGAATCGATACGCTGGTGTGAATGGGATTGCTCTGAGTTAATTGAGGATCATCACACTTAGCGCTGTGTCGCCCTTTCTTACAGCGCGTGGGTTAGATATTCCTTCCATTAAGACCGTCATCAATTATGATGTGGCTCGGGACATCGACACGCACACCCATAGAATCGGTCGTACTGGCAGAGCGGGCGAGAAGGGAGTTGCCTACACTCTGCTGACCCCCAAAGACAGTAACTTCGCTGGTGATCTCGTCAGGAATCTGGAAGGCGCTAATCAACATGTTTCCAAAGAGCTGTTGGATCTAGCAATGCAGGTACAAACGAGCAAAACTCCTTAAGTAGAGGAGGGTTCCTTCCGGGATTAGCACAAAATCAGGAGGTCAGGGTCTTGTTTCTGGCTCCGTCACGTGTCGGTGGTGACCTTTCAGCAATCTCTGCTGGGTTTAAGTAGGCTTTCTGGTGTTTTTAGTGGCCTTTGAAAGAATCTCTGAAGATGTGAAGGTTTTAGAACACCATATGTGATCTATTTTGGGGTCAGGCACTGCCTAGGAAATGAGGGGCTGTAATCTGGCTGCTGCCAGCAGCGCACTCCAGCTCCGGTGTCTCAGTACAGTCTGATTTTATGGCCGCCACCTGGGAAACGCAGCTTAGGGGAAAGCTAAACTAGAGAGTAGTTACAGGGACATTCCCTGTGAGAAAGGGTTGCTGCTGGATCGTTACACCTGCTTGGCAGTGCTGTCTGGCAGCTTGCTCTGTGCGGGTATGATGGATAGCTGAAGCAGTTGTGCCTGCGCCACTGTGCTCAGCAGCTTTTTAAGTTCTTGTCTTTTGCTGCCCATGTAGCTGCAACAGAGCAAAGGCTTTTTGGTAATTCCTGAATTCAGAGGTGGATTAGCCTGCCTGTGGCTCCATTGCCCGGCAGCTTGGACGCTGGCTGCTAGAAGTCAATGTTTTTGTGAGGTACGGAGGCAGCGTTTTCCGAAGGGACAGAATTTGTGAGGCAGAGCTCCACAGGCTGCCTTTGGGAGGAGCGTGTAGAAGCTGAACGGCTTGGCTTACTGGCTTCTTCAGATCTGAAGAAACTATAGGGCATAAAAAGAGGTGCAGCCAACCACTATCTAAAAACCTGGTTTCGGGAGGTCTGGTTGGGCTGCCCTCTCCTGGCCACTGCTTGTTGCAGGGAGTTTTGCTGACAGAACCTTGTTTCTCCTCAGCTGGGCACTGGGCTAAATCAGTAACACCCAAGTATGGGCAAGTGCAGAGCTCCCGGGTGGCCTTAGAAATTGCATTTATCCCTGGGTTTATTCGAATGCAAACTCCCAAAGCTCGCACGGATGAAAGTTCAGGACATAAAATCAGTTTTCATAAAAAGCATTTGTAGCAAAAAGCTTCAGACCCCCATGACTGAGCTGTCTACAGCTTAGTTTCCAAGTGCTGTGGTCTGTCACAGCCCATACCATTGCAACAGCTGTGTTGTGGAAGGGCCAACAGTGTCTTTATATTTTTCTTTTTAAATGCTCAAAATCCTTCTTTTCTGAGCCTCATTACGTGCATTTGTGCAGCTTCTTATTCCCTGTGTTGAGAAGCGTTTGTCCTTCTTTTGTACAGAATCCCTGGTTCCGGAAATCACGTTTCAAAGGAGGAAAAGGCAAGAAGCTGAATATTGGTGGTGGCGGCTTAGGATACCGTGAACGTCCTGGTCTGGGATCAGAAAACTCTGTAAGTAGAGATGCTGAGGAGGTTGTTTACAGATTCTTAGGACATTTTAACTTACTACTGACTACTCTTTAATTTGAAAAAAAAAATCTTCTTAGGCCTGGATTATAGCCTCTGCTTTCAAAGGTTTTCATAGCTCAGAATCTTTGGGAGTTAGTATCAGAAATACCTCACATGCAACTGTCCTGTGCTGTTATCCTCTTGTCAAGAGCTGCCTTCTTTAGGACCAGAGTGATCCAGAAGGTTTGAAGATTCTTCCCAAAATAGACTGGCAGTGCCAGATAAATGCTAATAAATTACTTGAAAAGCCATTTCCAGGCTGATTCTTGGCAGCAAAGAAATTTTGCCGCGTTGGGAACACTTCCTAAGCTGTGTCCACGCTAGGGAAACAGCCCGTTGCCAGCGTGCCTGGGGACAGAGTTGAACTGCAGATGTGTTGGAAACACATCACACGCAGCATCTCTCCAGAAGTCACAGCTGAAGCCTTGTTCGCGCTTTGTCTTGGCTGTGACCTCTGTGAAAAGCCCCCATTTGACCGCGTTTCGCTTCAGCTCGTACCGTGAGGAGCTGGGAAAGGCTCTTATCCTGTTGCCTAGTGAGTCACTGAGACTTGATTCATCTTCACTTTTCTGTCATCCTCAAGGTCATGGGGCAAACTGCTCCGCTGCTCAGGGCGCTCCCAAAGTGGGTCGTCCTTAGTAGATGTGTTTCCTGGGTGCCGGGTCAAGATAGATTTGGGGAATGGTTGAATTGAAAGTGTCACGTTGTGTAAATCTCTCCGGTTGTCCTGTGTCTTTTTGCGTAGGATCGTGGCAACAACAACAGTGTGATGAGCAACTATGAGGCCTACAAGCCGTCCACGGGGGCGATGGGAGACCGACTTACGGCGATGAAAGCAGCTTTTCAGGTTGGTTCGATCGCTTATACTCCAAGTTCTGACTCAAGAGGAAAGGGCATAACATGGAAAAATTTTACTACTAATGATTCAAGACAATTTTATTTTTTTTTCTCCCCTGAAAATGCAGAAACTGTTGATTTCAGGGAAGTTGAATTTGGTGGTTGTGGCCGCTTGGAGGACGCAGTCAGCGTTGCAGTCCAACGGGGCAGAATTAGCATGCAGGCTGGACTGAATGGGCTTGCACAAAGTTAATTTGCCAAACTTACTTTGTTTTCTGCTGCCTCTTT